CACTGGCTGCAAAAGCGAGGATGGTCCCAGCTCCATGCATCCAAGAAAGGGATGCATCCCAGAACAGGATGAAAATTACATGGATACACTGTCTCCATCTGAGACTGAGGGGTTTTAACATTAAGGAGAAGAGCAGCATTTCCACAGGGCTTTTAGGTCCCATATCCATCCCCATCCCACCCTGCAGCAACAAGGGCCTCATTTAAAAAAGCTTCATTAAAAGCAGCTCCAAGCACTGCAGACCTCACAGCCTCTAAAGGATGAAGAAAGCAGGAGGGAAACCCCAAAGGGCCAAACCCTGGACAGAAAAGCCCCCTTTAGTGTTGCTCACCATTCACCAACGCCAGCTCCTCCACAGCTTGCATAGGGATAACCTCCTCTTGCCAAAACCCTCAGCACAAGAAGAAACCTCCTTGCTCCCAGGCCCTTTAGATGGATGCTGAGGCCCTCAAACCCTTTTATACCAATGTCCCCACCCTCCCCAGGTGGGATGTATCTGGGCTAAAAGCTCTGGAGAGGCAGGTTGAGTGCTTTTGGGTGTATTGGGGTTATGACTTGCTCCAGTGCTTTATACAAGAGGCAGAGAAGCCAGCATCACAGAGACCAGCACCCCTCCATGATGGGATACACGTTTTCCACCAAGATCCACAAATTCAGTCAAATATGACATTTCTCTCAGCATAGGAGCAGTTTCCCGATGAAAACACCTTTGGGAAGCAGCTGTGAACGTTCCCATGTCCCATTCCCTGGTTTCACAGCTCACACCCATGTTGTCCCTCCATTTTAATCCACTTTTTTCCTCTCTACCTGCTTAAAAGCAGCAAGTTGACCTGAACGACCACAGCACGTGGCCGAGCAAAACCATTGCTGCTCAACACCAGCAGCAGTTTCTGCTCCTCATCCTCAGCACGGCCAGGCTGTGATTTGAAACTCAGGGATGCTCTGCTCGCTGGGATGAGCGGACACTGGGAATCTGGGGATTTGGACCCCCCGTGATGTGGCTTTGGGCTGGACTGTAGTGCTGAGTGCGCTGAGCATGGCACCAACACAAGCAGAGCAAGCAAAGATGGGCACCAGGCTCTTCTGGTGCAATGGATTGAAGCCCTCCCAAAGGATCCCATCATGGATCATGTCACCAAAGGTGAGGAATTTCATTTCACCCCAGCCCCAGCCCAGCGGGAAGGGGAGCCCCCTTCACCCGCAGATCCTGAGCATCAAGGACCCCATTGTGCACCGTCTCAGAGATTAACTCCACATGCCATGTTTCAAATGGCCCAAGGGTAAAGTCCATCCGGGCTGTTTTACCACGAGCATCCTGTGGGATTTCTCCCAGGAGAAGGCACCTGGGAGTGCTGCAGGATGGGACTTGAGGCTCTGCAGGCCAGGTAAGGGCAATGGAGATGGGGAAAGGAAGAGATTTTGAAACACCATTTTGAAACACCAGGCTGCTTCAGGGGGCGTTTGCTTCCTCTTTCCCAATTCCCTACCTTATTCTCTGCAGGTTTTCCCTGGGCAGCTGGGACCCGAGGCGCTGCTAACACGTAGCTCTGTATTGTCACATCTCTCCAAGGTAATCTTTAGGGAAAGGGGAATTGACAAACCGGTGGAAACTGACTGACACTCCGATCAAAACACAAAGGGAACAGAAACAAATGGCTCCGCAAAGAATCGCTATTTAATTAGGAATTAGATCTGTGCCAGTGACTCACGGCAGGAAGCGACACAACAGCGGGCTCAGCGGAGGGCACCTGCAGCAGCATCACAGCGGGGACCAGCTCCAGCCCGTGGCTGTGCTGGGACATTGCCGGAGGGGGACACACATGCAGAGGGGACTCCCGCTGCCAGCATCCCCTTGGCTTTGCCAAGCCAAGAGGCACGCTGCAGGAAGCAGCCTGGCGTGACCCTGGGCAATCAGATGCGTGCGAGCCCGAAAGCTTTGCAGAGAAATCCCCTCGCAGCAGTTTTGCTGCTGGGATGGGAAAATCCCAGTAAATCTGATCTAGGGAAAAGCCCAAATAAAGACTGTGGAATGAGGGAGGGAGGGCGATTAGGGAGGTCGGAATAAAGCTGCTCCTCTCTCTCCATCACACTCCAGTTGCAACCCTCCTGTGGGGAAACCCCAGCCCTCCATCAGTAGGGTACCAAAGCTGGGCAGTGCTTGGGAATCCCTCTCAGCTCCTCTGGGAGACATTGAGGAAAGTGAGATGTAATTGGAGAGGATCTGGCAGGGGTGGGGACCACAGATCAGTCACAAGGGACATGACACGCTGAGAGCAGGGTGGTCCATGACCCCCCTCAGATCTGGGCTGGGATGCGCAGGTGGGAAGCAGCATCCATGTGGAAGCTCCTGCTGAAAGCTGTATCCTTCATTGAGTTCTTCACAGGGAGGAATCAGGAGCAAGGCAGAATGGAGGAACATCGCTCCTCATGGCTACCTCTTTGTCCCTGGTGCTGGGTGTGCTGGGGGCCAAGGGTGCCCCTCGGCATGGATGCAGCTGGCGATGGTCATGCAGGGCTTTGGAACAAAGGAAAGCAGGAGCAAAGGGTGAGGGATTCTGCAGGCTTGGCTTCTCAGGTGTCTCATTCTATCCCCTTTCCAAGGGGGAGCTAGCTGCCACCCCTTCATTTCACATTGTCATGACACCATCCAGAGGGTTGTAGGAAACACAGCTTGGGCCTTTGACCTCATGGTGGAGGCTTTGGACATAGAATCATAGAGCAGTTTGGGTTGAGAGGGACCTTAAAGCTCATCCAGCTCCAATCCCCTGACACAGCTTCTCTGGGCACCCTGTGCCAGCACCTCAGCACCCTTACAGGGAAGAGCTTCTGCCTAAGAGCTTATATCAGTCTCCCTCTGTCAGCTTAAAGCCATTGGGCGTCCCTGCAGGGCCATTTCTGCTGCATTAGCTTCACCCCCATGGACAGGACTTTCCAAGCTGGGTTCTTGGGCAGTGCTCACTCAGAGTCCCACTCTCCAGTACTGGTAATGGGTATTTTTGAGCATCTTTTCTCAGTCTGGCTTGGAGCAAAACTTCCTGGGCTGCTGGTACCCATCACAAAGGTGCCGAGCAGATGCCTATGGAAAAGAGCAGGGCATGGATGGAGCAATGCCCATGTCTCAGCCACTGTATTTTTCCCCCACTCTAGCTTATTCAAGTCATCTGGCCAAAATCATTTGGTATCTTCCATCTCCTTCCCCAGCTGCACTGAGTGTGTCTGGAGCTGAGACCTCACCCGCTCCCACAACACCGGTCTGAGGCGGATTTCCCAGGCGCAGCACCTCCACCTCCGTTTTACCACCTCCACAAATGACTGTCCTAATATCCTCGCTGAATTCCAGCTGGGGAAGAGCAGAGGCAGAGCATGAGCTGGCATTAAGCTGCTATTAGAGGAAATCGGAGCCTGAGAGCGGAGGAGAAAGCGTCGTGGCTGTCAGGTACCCGGGTGGCCGCGTGGACCGCGGCTGAGCTTCGGGTACCAATTGGTGCATGGAGAAGGTTCCTGCTGAAAACTTCCCACCAGCCACAGGCTTACCCTGGGAAATATCATTCCAATGGGGCTGTGCACTGAGGGATTGCACCCCAGCCCTCCTGCCAGTGCGGGGATCCACCGCTGGATCCCCATCTGAACAGTCTGTGGGAAGCAGAAGAGCCCCCAAAAGCAGCATCTCACGACGAGCTGCTCGCTGAAGGATGAGTCAGCCCAGGAACACGCCAAAAAGTGTGTTCAGCACTTTTGGACGTACCCGGTAGGAGGCAATAAATAACACATCTGCTGAGAGGCGGCCTCGCCTCCTGCAGACCTGGGATTGCCACCTATCGTCGAGGTTCAGCTCTAGGACAAGAATCTCTCCTTGCTCCCATTCCTGTTAAAGTGGATGGATTTTCCCACTCTGGATCCCCTTGCTTCGGGCCCATGCCCTCCCCTCGTTAGGGAGCATCCCACACACACGTGCACATCCAGGCCCATGGCTGTTATTTTCCTCCTCCTGCCCAAGCAAGCCCGACAGGAGGGCCCCTTGCTGGGATGCTGCTGCCGCATCCTGGGTGCACTGCTGGTTTTTTACAGATGCTGCAGAAATTGGTCCTAAATATGACCCACAGAGTGTGTGGGGGGGGGAGAATTCACATCCAGAAGGGACCGGCTTTAACGAGCCTATTACAGAGCGGGAGCGAAACGAGTGGGGAAACTGAGGCACAAACCTCCCCCCAAAGAAAGGGACCCCCCCATCGCTGCCTCAGTTTCCCCGGCGCTGCCCCCCCCGCTCCGCACCGCGCAAAGGGGCTCCCTGCCCCTTTAAGCCCCCCCCGCCCGGCGGAGGCTCGGCCCCTTTCTCTGACACAGCAGCCGCCGGGACGAGCCGAACCGGGAGCCGCGGGGAGGCTGCGGCCGGGGCCGGGGGCCGGGCGCCCACCGCCGCTCCGCCCGCCCCCCCCCCCCCCATGGCCCTGCCCGGGCCGCCGGGCGCCGCCCGCCCCGCTCCGCCCGCTGGAGCCATCGCTGCTGCTGCTGCCGCCGGTCGGTCCCGGGGGCATCGGGAGCGGGGGGTGCGGGCAGCGGGGGCAGCGGGGATGCGGGGATGGAGGCTGCGGGTACCGGCATCCTCCTTCCGCGGGGATGCGGGGACCGGTGAGGAAGGATGCGAGCAGCGGGAATGGAGGATGCGGGGAGCTGGGATGGAGATGCGAGCATGCCGGGACACCCCCCCCCTCCTCCCTGTGCGCACCCCCGAGCTGGGGTATGCGCTCACCCCACTCCGCCTCCTCCCGTGCTTCCCCCTCACGGGAATCGGGGGGGGGGGGGGGGGTATTTGGGGGCAAGGTGGGATTTCCCCCTTCCTCGACCGAGGCGGGGCTGGGGCTTGAAGCCGGGAGGAGGATGGTGGTGGGAGGAAGCTGCCAGACCCCCCCCACCCCAAAGCGAAGGGGTCCCCTGGACCGTGCTCCCCCGCTGCGGGCTGTCACCTCCGGTAACGTCTCACCCCTTCCAACAGCGACCTGAAGGAAAGTGGCCCCCGGACTCCTCTTGTGCCACGGAAAAGCCCTGAGGGAGGAGGAAGAGGAGGAGGAGGGGGAGGAAGTAAGAAAAGGAGAAGGCATTAAAGAGAAGGACAAGGAAAGGCTTGGGCTGGAGCCAAGGGGGGTCGGGATAGCGACGGTAAGTTCCTGAGCTGCTTGTCTCTCTGTCTGTCTGTCTATCCATCCATCCGGCTCAGCAAGACCCTGCTGTGCCCAGTCTCCTGGTCTCAAACTGGGGAAGGGGCACAAAACTGGGGGGTGACAGGCACAGGGTCAGGCTCCATCCTGCCCCCCCAATTAGGGGGGACCACTGTGGGGGTACCTGGGAGCTTGTTCTCATCCCAGGGCTGAGATCAAAGGCAAGGCAGCAGTGGGCCCCGCAGCTGTCTGCCTCCAGAAGGGATCGCTCCCTCACGCTGTCTGTCTGTCCTTGCAGGAGGGGAGCTTGGGCTCCCCAGGGCACCTGTGGAGACCCCACCGCCAGCACCCAGCACTGGAGCTGGTGACCCCGGAAAGAGGGCCCAGCACAGGGAGCAGCATCGCTCCCTGGGGACACCCAGCCCTGCGTCCCCCTTCCCGGCATCGGAGAGCGGGCAAGGAGTGAGCCGCTGGATTTTAGCTTCCTGGGACATCCAAGGGACTCTTCCTCCTCCTCCTCCTGCTCACCTGACCAAGCAGCACTCACCTCTTCCGCTCGCTCCATGGCCACCCTGCATCTCCCCATGGCCACTGGCTGAGCCCCCTTTGCAGCAGTCCCGACTCCGCATGCTGCATCCCGACCCTGCTCCCCGCTCCGAACCAGAGCCCCCCGACCTCGCAGGGAGGCGAGCGTGCGGCTGGGACTTCCTTGGAGGCAAGGGAACGTTAAGATGTTGAAAGCTCCCCAGCCGAGAGGGGCTGCACGGACGCCAGGCCACCCGGCTAGGGGGGAGCAGGATGGACAGAGCCGTTGGGGCCGGGAACCAAGGCTGGTAGGGAAGGATGGACTCCCAGACCTGCCAGGACAGGCAGCCCAGTGACCACCCCAGCAGCAGCAGCAGCAATTGTAGCAGCAGCAAGAGCAATTGTGAAAGGGAAAGGATCCGGAGCCGGATGAAAATGGTGATCGGGCAACTGGAAGGCATCTTACAGGAGCTCAAGGAGGTGGCCAAGGAGCTCCGGGAGGTAGGAAAGCCCTGGGGTGCCATCGCGTCCCTGCGCGGGTCACGGGAGCCCAAAACATGGGTGCTCTGTCCCTGTCCCCCTGCCTCCGGGGCCAGGCGGGGGTACCAGAGCCAGCTCAGCATCCACCAGCCCCTGCAGGGACTTGGGGGGCAGAACCCGGCCGCGGGGCAATAGGGCATTCAAAAAGGGAGGGATAAATAGACCTGGCTGTAAAATTGCTCTTGACCTTGACACCAGGGTCTGCTCGAGGTCAGGGCCCAGCCAAGGCACCAGCCCTGAGGGTGCTGGTAGTAGGAGAAGCACCACGGGGGTGACACAGTGGGGCTGGGGCAGCCAGTGCTGTTGGTGCTGTTGGCACCGTGTCACACTCAGCTCTGCTCTGCCTTGTGCCAGGCCCCTTTCAAACAGGGAAGTGGATGGAGAGGGGATGATGGGACCCTCTGGCATTGCAGAGAGCCCTGAAATCATGGCATCAGCCCTGGGGGGTGCTGCTGGGGCCAAAACAGCTGGCTGTCAGGGTCCATTGCTCTTGCAAAACCTATTCTATGATTCATATACATACATATATAAAGTGTGGTTGGACTTCCAGTGTGGAGGAATTTCATACTTAAGGTTTGGTGGGGAATTCTGTAGCTCAAGCGTTTGGGCCACACATGTCCAAGGTGGAGGGGAAGGGGATGTGGATGGGACAGGTAATTTAGGACCACTTGCAGGCAATGGCGATGGGGTAGATGGAAAGTGTGTGGTACTCTTCACACAGCTCAAGGCTTGCTTTTGGAGTAGGGCAGGTTGGTGTTTGAATGCTCTCCGTGGCCTGAGCCGAGCCTGGGGTTATACCCAGCACTGTGCCAAACCTTCTGTCCCCCCAGGAAGGGCAGGAATTGGTGGAGGTTTTGCCATGGGGCCACCACAGAGCAGCCCCACATGGGTTGGGGACCTTTGGGTACCACCAAGAGAGTGCTGATGCAGGCGGACCAGCATCATCCTCAGTGCAGACACAGACCTGGTCAGGGAGGCGACATCTTCTAGCCTGAAGCAGCCCCTGGGAGGCAGCGTTCCTCCTTTGGGGTGGTTCTGCTTGGTCCAGGAGATTTTAGGGAGGCTGTTCCACTTGGAAAGCCAGTGGTGGGAATGCCAAATCCCACCACACCACCCCCTGGGGCCCTGTGAAGGCTCAACCTGGCCGTGGCATCCGTAGAGATTTTCCTTTCTCTCACGGCTTTGCTGGTCCTTTCTGCAGCAGAAAGCAAACCCGGCCATCCATAGCACTTCCCCAGTCCCAACGCCACCAATGGGGGAGCCCAAAACCCCTTCTACAAACCTCTGATGGATTAAAACAGTCATAATAGCATTAGTGGGGAGGCAGAGCTATTTGCTGTTTAGCCCAAGCTCACTTCATGCTCCTTCAGGGTCTTAAAGAGGCCTTTAAAGTGAGGATGATGGCAATTGGCCCCTTCTCTTGTGCCCATGGATTTAAGGCCAGGTGGGACCATACAAGCATCCCTCCGGCTAAGGATGCACAGGGGTAAAAAGGATGAGACCTTGAAGTGCTTGGTGCTTCCCACCAAGCTCTAGCTGGCTCTGCAAGGTCCCCATACAGCTCTTGGAGCCAGACAGACCATGAGCATCCCTGCAGTATCCATGGTAGGGTGCACCAGTGTCTCAGAGCAGAGAAGAGGTGGTCAGGAGACACCCATCCTTTGCCCCTCAGCCCAGGGAGACCCTGCTCCTGTACCAGCGAGGGGACCCATGCCCCATGAGGGGCTTCTCCCCTCTCTCCAGAGGGCACTGGGAAGCTCTGAGGCCTGGGGATGACTTTTCCACGGAGCTGGCACATCCCAAAGCACTGGTGACCCCACAGCCTGTATCCCTTAGCTGCCCCGCACACCATGGGACAACAGCATAGAGCCAGCCTTAAAGTGCCCACCACGAGGTGGATCCTGACCTTAAACCCTTCTCAACAGCTCCTACAAATACCCACATGGCAGCAAATACTTGGGTTTATACAGAACAGCACAAACTCAGCACAAGAGCAGGCTCTGGAGCTAAACCACACCGGTCCGACCGGGCTACACCAGGCTCCGGTGACTGCAAGGGACCAGAGCTCTGGTTCTCCCCAAGCCAAGCAGATGTTGGGTACGAGAGGCGTTAGGAACGCAACTCTTTGTCCCCAGGTCACTCAGAGCAAGCTGGATGGGAGCACACCATGGGCGACAATCAAAGCCACCCAGAAAAGTCTGTAGTAGGGACCAGGCTGGCAAACTGTAAGCTCCAGGATATCGGAGGGAGAGAAGTAGAACACAAGGCTCTGTGGTTGTCTGCCTTGCACATAGCAATGCTCTTCCTCAGCTGGAGGGGAGGGCCAGCACTTGGGGACAAGGACCTGGGGACCAATGGCCCCGAGGTCAAGTGGGCTCAGGGATGGGGGTCTCAAATGGGGCTGCTCAGGGCCACCAAAGCCCTTCAGTGACCACAGGGCCCTGGCACTTGTGATATCAGTGTCTTCTCCAATGGAGACACCATGAAGGGTTTGGAAACGTCCATCCCTGCATCCAACCCCTCTGCACCGGTGGCTTGGGGCACAGGGCTGGATGCGCTCAGTGAGGGCAGTGGTGGGCCCGATCATGCTGTGCCAGGGTCACCCATGGGGCTGGAAAACCTTCACTGGGTGATGCTGGACCCGCTCCTTCCAGCTCCAACACAAGGGGAGCTGGGTACCAGGACTTTACAGGTCTGGGAGAAGCAGCCAGGTTAAAACCACCCTGACAAACATTACCCCCAACACCACCAAAGCCCCTGTGTGGGCACAAGCGCTTTCACCCAGGCACGATTCCTGCTCCAAAAGCACTCACCAGCCCCAGCCGGGATTGCGGGATGCTCCGGAGGGATGCTTCAGTGGGTGCCCCGCTCTGCTGGCCCATCCCTGGGGATGCAGCGTGGGACCGTACCCTAGTTCAGGCTCCATCGCTGGCTCCCCGGAGCGGTTCCCACCTGAAGGCTGTCATTCCAGATGTCCGTTAGCTCCAGGATGCTGTTTTACCAGCTTCCCACTCTCCCTGCCTCCCTCCTTCCCTTTTGTGTATATAATTATTCCCAGCGCTCCATGGCAGGGCTGGTTTATGTGCGGGGAAAATGATTATTAAAACCTTTGATTGAAATTGCACACTGGAAGTAGAAGTGAGGCAGGAGGCAGGCGGGGAAGGCGCTTCCGCCGAGCGCTCGCCACGCTGCCTGCCTTCCCACATTGCCTCCTGCCAGCCCCAGCCTTTTCCCGCCGGGATCAGGGTGATGCCACAGGGAAGATGGTACCCAGGAGATCCCAGCCACCTCCGCTCCTTCCCAACCCTAGGGGTTAGTGCTGGAGGTCAGGATATAGGCATATAGGGAGGTAAAACCAATAAAATCCCATATATAGGGATATAGGCAGAGGTGGGAGGTAAAACCAATATCGGGCACGGCTCCCTGTGCGCAACCCCCCCTAGAATCCCATGGGAATGGGGCCTATCAACCCTGCATCCCCTGCTATGGGAGCACCGGGGGAAGCAGCAGCGAGGGGTCCCCCCAAGCCTGTGGCAGGAGGAAAATCCTCCCTGCAAGCCCTCGTGATAATAAACACCCTAATGATGGTGTAATCAATAGGTTCGATTCGGCGTGAACTTCCCTGAGCTGGGAATGCTTGGGAAAGTTCGCAGTGAGAAGGCGGCTTATTATCCTAATAATAACACATCCCAGAGATCTGCGCCGTGATTTTGAACTGTTTAGCAGCTGATGAGCTAACAAATGATCCCGAGATCTGCAGCGTGCTCCTTTGTGAGCAGCAGCTCAGGGAGGAGAGGCCCCTGGAACCCAGCAAGCTCCAATTAATCTTTTATTCCTTATTAAATATTTACCCACCTTTGCCTGCGCTGGGAAGTGGTTTGGGAGATGCGGGATGGGCCCTGCTCCAGGAGCTCTGGGCTGTGGGGTCATGGAGCTTTGGGGTGGCTCTTTGCCCCCCTGGAGGGAGGAATTGAAGTCCAGGGTGATGGCTTTGGGGTGATGTGATGCTCTGGGGATTTGCTGCGTGGTCCCATTGTACATCCCCCCCAGTGCATCAGCTGGCAGCAAAGCACAGCACAGGGCCAGGCGGGTCAGATACAGGCAGGGAAAGCAGCTGTGGAGCATGGGAAAACACTTTGGGCCCCAAACTATGCTGCTGCAGGGGTGCAGCGGGTGCTGGGGATGGATTCAGAGGCTGCGGGAGCATGGGGAGATCTCCCAGGACCAGATGCTTGGCTCTGCATTGGGAGAGCAGTTGCATGTGCAGGAGGGCAGCAGAGGGGACACGCGCACCGGTCCCCTCCTCACCGAAGCAAAGACATCCCAGGCAGCACCACTCCATCCCCCTGCTTTGATCCCCACACCCTGGACCTCCCCCTTCACCCACTGGTACCCCCGCGAGCGCCGATGCTCTGCGCCCACCCTCTTCAAAGGCCGTGCTGGGATGAAGGGGCCGTCAGATCGCAGCACTTTGATCCCAGCAGCTCCCAGCTCCTTCCCCAGCCTCGGGAATACGCGTTACCAATTACCAACCATGAAGCCTTTGAAGTCCACTCTCATCCTCCCCCCCTCATCCCTCACCTTTCCAGCATCTTCTCGAGCTTCCAGGGGGGGTAGCTCCTTGGCAAGAAACAGCGTGGCCAAAACGTGGAAGCTGGAGCCACCAAGCCCAGCTCTGGACTTGATTTGGAGCCACTGACCAAAAATCCCATTCGAAACCAACAGTGCTCCAGGTGTTCAACATCTGCCTTTAGCTGGGGAGGTGAACACCCATCTGGAAGGTTCCTGGGTGCCAGCAACGTCCATGGGTGCAGGGATGGTTTGAGAGGCGAGGGAAGCACCCGGCATTCCCAGTTGGGCTGAATGGTGGGAGCTGGATTTTGGGGTGGGGATGAACTGGTTGTAGCGCATCCTTGCTCCGTGCTTATCCCTATGGGTTACCTCAGGGACATGGGCACAACCCTCTGCCTCACTCCACTTCATCCTCTGGCTGCTCAAAGCTCTTTGGGCAAGAGCGGAGCACCCTCGGCCTCCCAGCACCTGCTTTCAGGGCACTTGGGCACAGCAGGATGAGGCCCTTCGGTGGCGAGAGGTGAAGGGGACTTATTTTTGCTCCCCCTTTTCCTGCTGCAAGACACTGCTGGTTTGAGCAGGGATGCTCTGCTCTCACCAAAGAGGCAGCACTTTGCAGCAAGGTGAAACCTAAAGGCAAGTGAGGATGGGGACACAAGGCACCTCCAGCACATGCTGAGGACACCCCAACCATCTCCACTTGCTTGCAGGGGGACAGAGTGACCCCAGTTCACTGGGGGAGAGAGCATCACCCCAGTATCCATCCCAGGTGTGGTACATCCATCCCTTCCTCCCTCCCCATCCCTCTCATCCTGGCTCCCTCTGACAGCAGCAATGGCCTCAGCCAGGAAAGCTTTGACAACCTGCCTCGGGAAGGAGCAAAGCCCAAATCCTACTTTACATTTAAATCCTCAGTGGGTACCAAGTGTCACATAGGTATTTAACACCCCCCTCCGTCCCGCACCACCATCACCCGTCTAAAATAGACATCACTCCTAAAAATAGCCCCGAGTGAGCCACTGCCGATGTGACACTAATCCCCATGTGCCACTGCAAGGACCGGGATGGGGATGTGCCCCCCCCCCGGCACCAACTGGGCCCCGGTGACAGCAGGTCCCTTTAATGAGGGTGAGGAAGGACCTGGATGACAGGAACCCAAATGGAAGCCCATGAAGATGCTCACCCTGAACCCAGCACTGCAACCACAAAGCTGCTGTGACAGCAGAGGTGATCTCATTTTAGCTGAGGAGTTTCAGCACATCATTTGCTGCCTTATTAAAACCTAATAATAGCTGGGTGTTTCCCAAAGCCAGCTCATTTCCACCTCTTTTTCCTAAGGCTTTCTTGCCACCAAGAAAGAATGGGTCACTTGTCTTCTTCCCTTGAGTTTTGCCCTTTCTCCCCCAAAGAAATGAGGAAGAAAAAGGGGAAAAGATAATAAATCTGGAGGTGCACTGGGAGCAGGAGAAACCATCTCATCTCATTTCCAGACTTTCTCACCGATGCTGATGCGGATGCTCCTTGCCCTCAGCACCCTTCAAAGCCAAAGCTTGAAGGACAGATGGGTCCCTGCCCAGCCCCCATTGCGTGGGCAAGGAAGCAGGAAAATTAAGTTGGAGATCATGAGTGAAGAGCTTAGGTAAAGCCTGCTGCCTTCTGCTGCCTGCGATGAGAGGCACTCAGGTCATTATCCCCAGCACCACCCTCCGTTGGGCACCCGAAGTCCCTCCTTCATCAAGACAGGGACTTGACGTAGGTCTAAGCTCCATCCTGCAAGCAGGATCCAGGGTGGGCTTCGTGAGGCCCAGCCAGGAGGGAAACCACCCATGGGGCCAGCACATGGGGCTGGGAAACAGCACAGCTCAGGAGAGGGCTTCTGGACCAGGGCTGAGCTTATATGGGCTCCTGGGCCATGGGCAGGGTGAGGTCCCAGGCGGGGCTCATCAGGGCTGTTAAGGTGTGTTAGTGCCCATCCCTGTGTGCTCAGGTCTGAGGATGGGATCACTCCCCTTATTTCCAACCCACCCTTTTTTCCCCTGCAAAGATGCGGTTTGGCATCTTTTATTGCAGCAGTCTCCAGTCCTTCCACCTTCAGCTCCTGGTGACCCCCTCTGTCCCATCTCAGAACAGGCCTCCCCATTCCCAAGTCGCCCCAATCCACGTTTGCAGCAGGCAGCAAACGCACACATCCAGCCCCTTCACCCTCGCCCAAACTGCATCAGCGCCCTGTGCCCCTTGGGATTGTGGCCCCATGGAGGTGACGCCAGTGTCCTCCAGAGACGTTCATCCAGGTCACACGGTTTGGAGGCCCCAGGAATGGTCCTGGCACAGCCAGAGCCTGAACGTGCCCCATGCGGCTGATTTAAAAGAGGGGGGGGGGCTGCGTGCGCACGGCTGGATGGCCCCAGAAGCAACTGGGGGGTTGGTGTGCCCCATCCTTGGTGCCATGGCCTCGGGAGCACGGCAGAGCAGGAGCTGCACGGGCAGGGCTGTGGAGCCAGGGAAATTTGGAGCTCGGATATGAGAATTCCATGAAAATGAGGTCAGCAGAATGTAAGGAGCCACTTGGCTGCGGCAGCATCCCCCCGGGCTGCTGGCTCCAGATGCCCAGACATGTTCAATTACCCTTAACTCTGCCCACACGTCCTCATCCACCACGAGGGCTTTGTGAGGAGCCTGCCCGGCCAAGCCACGGCTTATAGCATTGGCCCAAACCTCCAGCAAAGGGCTGCAGAGACCAAGGGCAACCTGGGACAGCAGCTATGGGGTGCCCTCCCTCGGCTACCCAACGTGAGGATGGGATTGGGGTGTCTGAGCCCAAGGACTCGGTTTCCCCTAGGAAAACTGCTCAGGAAAGCATGAAGTTATGGGATAAGAGATGCATAAAAATCACAGAATCATGGAATGGTTTGGGTTGGAAAGGACCTTAAAGCTCATCCAGTCCCAACCCCTGCCACAGGCAGGGACACCTTCCACTAAAGCAGCTTGCTCCAAGCCCCTGTGTCCAACCTGCCCTTGAGCACTGCCAGGGATGGGGCAGCCACAGCTTCTCTGGGCACCCTGTGCCAGCGCCTCAGCACCCTCACAGGGAAGAGCTTCTGCCTAAGAGCTCATCTCAGTCTCCCCTCTGGCAGGTTCAAGCCATTGCCCTTGGCCTGTCCCTACATCCCTTGTCCCAAGCCCCTCTCCAGGTTTCCTGCAGCCCCTTCAGGCACTGGAGCTACTCTAAGGTCTCCTGTTCAGGAGCCTTCTCTTCTCCAGGCTGAACAGCCCCAAAAGGATGGGGAGATGTGCCATGATTCATTATTCTTGGTGGATGAGAAGGTCAAACACCCATTGACAAACCCTGGGACTGATGGAGATGCAGCAGAGCCTTTTGGTGGCATAAGGAGAAGGAGAGGAAACGTGTCTGGCAACATAATGTCTTTTGTGAAATCTGTGGCTGATTTCCACCAGGAAAGGACATGAGGAAGGGCAGCAGAAGGGAAAAGATGGAGAGGGAAAGGCAGTAATGAAAAATAACCAGGAAAGATACTTGTGCTTGGAGAAACCACCTGGGAAAAGCCAAGCAAAGGGGGTGGTTTGCTCCCAAATGTTCCGTGTTCAGGACGGGAGGCTGGGGAGCAGTGGGAGGGACATGGGGCCAGGGTGCCCATGCTGGAGAGGGGGGAGCACATAGAGCATCCACTGGGTGCACAAACAGGTCTGAGGAGTCACCCTGATCCCTGCTCCCCGTCTGCGGCTGCCCACCTCCTGCTTGGCAGCACTGGGATGGATGGGCCAGGCCCTCTGCCAGCTCCTGCAGCGCACCAGGAACACCCCATTCCAGTGCTGCCAAGCTGGATGCACGCATCCTGCTCTGCCTCCCGCACACAACCACACTGCACCCCACACACACACACAGCAACACCCAAGGAACAGCCCTCACGGCAGCGGGGGCTCGGCAGGGACCGGGTTCCCTGGGCAGGATTAGTGCGGTGCTTGGCGCTGGGCAGCGCTGAGCTGGATGGGGCTAAAGGCTTTGAAGGCGGGTGAGGAGTCTCTTGCATCCAAAAGCCTGGCAAGGTCGTTGGATCATAGAATCACAGACTGGTTTGGGTTGGAAGGGACAAAGCGCATCCGGTCCAACCTCCTGCAGTGAGCGGGGACATCTTCAGCCGGATCAGCCTGCCCAGAACCACATCCAGCCTGGCCTGGGACGTCCCCAGGGATGGGGCAATGGGGCATCCACCACCTCTCTGGGCAACCTGTGCTGGTGTTTTACCACCTTCATACCATGCTCCACGGTCCATAGAGGGAAGGAGGCCCTTCCTCCTTCCCTCCCCTCGCAGCCCTGCCCATGGCTCTCACACCACCTAGGACACAGCATCTACTATTTCTAATGCTTTAAGGATCTGCTTGACCCAGGGGTCCATCCCCTGCAGCACAGCAGTGCCATGAGCCCGCCCCCAGGCCACCACAGCTCTTTATATACCCCACACTGCAAAAGATGGAGGACCAGGGACCAACCCCATCAGCATCCCAGCCAGGGCAGGGGGTGACAGCGCTTTCCCCGCAGTCCTGCACCTTCCCATGTATTTGTCCCATGACTTTGGGACATTTTCCACCTTTGCCTCAGTTTCCCCACCCACAGAACTGCATTGTCCAGGGGGAGGAGGTGGCAGCTGCTGGTGGCTTCTCATGGACAAGTGCAAGGGGATTTGGGGTGGCACTCATGGTCCCGGCACCGGCAGGACCCATCCTTCTGCACCAGGTGCCATGGGGTTGATAGGGCTGTGCCACCAGGTGGGTTTTGGTCCCTGCTGAGGGACTCCCAGGGTGGATCTACTTGGGCTGAGACCTCCCAGCTCATCACACCGGTGGTGCCAGGGGACATGGCAGAGCTTTCGGGATGTGCTGTTACTGCGGAGCCCAAACAGGAGGCTCCTGTTCAGGGGCTCCTGTCTGCCCGTCCCTCTGTCCGCAGGTGGTGAGCCAGATCGACCGGCTGACGTCCGACTTCGAGTTCGAGCTGGAGCCGGACGACTGGACAACGGCGACGGCCAGCAGCACGTCCAGCAGCGAGAAGGGCGGGGGCGCCTTCGAGCTGGGACCCCTCGATTTCCCCGCCTCCGACATCCTCTCCGACAGCTGGGAATTCTGCTCCTTCCTGGATACTTCCACCCCCTCCGACCCCGGCGACGGCCCCGACCCCCCCCGGCCGCAGCCGCAGCCCCCGCCGGCTCGCCAGCCCGATTACCGGCTGATGAATGGGGGGCTCCCCATCACCAACGGCCCCCGGGGCGGGGGGACCCCGGATTCATCCAGCGAGGAAGCCTTTGGCGCAGCGGCCGTCCAGAAGATCTCGCATCACCGCCCGGCCGGCACACGGGAACGGGTCCGGTTCAGCGACAAGGTGCTTTACCACGCTCTGTGCTGCGATGACGACCGGGACGGTGACAGCACAGCATCCCCAGGGGATGACGGCCCCGAAGAGCCCGGCCGGAAGGCGCTGGTGGGGCCCCCCTCCAAGCATCCTTCCGCTGGTGGTGGTCCCCCGGCGCGGCGGGTGATGAGGAACAGCAGCACGCAGACCGTAGCCGATAAAAGCACCCAGACGGTGCTGCCTTACATCCCGGCCAAGCAGAGAATCAAGAACAAAAACTGATGCCGGCTCTGCCGCATGGATTTGGGGAGGGTGGGGAGGGGATGTGGGGATCCCTGGGGAGGGACACGAAAATCAAGGAAGATATATATATATAAATATATATTTAAATAAATCGATACTACTAATAAAACTCAACATGAAAAGGTGGCAAAGAAGACGAATGTCCCAACTACCTACCCGTCATTTTTTAAGGCTCAGGGAATTTTAAACTGCTTCTTTTTTTTTAGATCAATAAACCATCCATCATGGAGAAATAACAACAACAACATATATATATTATATGTATATATGTACCAAAAAGGGAAGCCTCTGTGGAGGGGAGAGCCAATGCACCTGGGGTTGTGGCTGGGGGATGGATGGGGAGATGCGGATGCAGGAGGTGGGGGGTGGCTGGACCAGGGAGGACAAATGTCCCTTCCTGGGATGTTTTATCCCTGTTTGGTTTAAGAAGAGCCTGTGTGATCTGCTTTGTCATAGCCAGTGTCTGAGTGGAGCGGGGATGTTACCAGGGACATCAGCCCCATAGCCAGGATGTGGCCCAAGAGGGATGGAGAGGGGCTTGCAGAGAGCAAAGCCACAGCAGTGATGAGGAATCGAGGTGAGGACGCCAATTCCACACACAGTTTCCATCTTTATACCAGGTCCAAGGGAAATATTAGTGACCTCCAAGTCTTGCAACCATCTTAGACGATGAGGGAGATGTCTCCAGCTTTCCTTTAGGTACTCGCTTCTGGTTTTGCCCTGATCTGGAGGGGAAAAAAAAAAGCTAGATTTGCTATGAAGGAATCTGGACTTCCAAATCCACCCTTGGCATTTTTTTCAGTTTCCAGGTTTTGCTGAAGCCTTCAGAATCCAAAGGGATCCATGCAGCACCTCCTCCTGGAGCCAAACCCCTCGTGTGCTCCCTATCTGCTCTTCCTCCAGCAGGGATGCATTTGTACCACCAGCCCTCGAGCATCCCTGGCACAGTGGTGTTTTTTCCAAGCCTGGCAGTAAAACCCCACCACCTTGAGTCCTGATTTTTAATCCAGGTCAGAGATGCTCCATTTCAAGCCTTCTCTCAGGGTCACCCTAAAGCCAGGACCCCCTCTACCACTCAGCATGGCTACCACGAGCAAGGGATGCTCATGTAAAATACCCATTAAAGAGGAGGCAGCAGCAACCAAAACACTCTCTATTCAACCCAAATCGTAGCAGGACAGAAGCCTTTTACCCAAATGGTGTTGAATCACTTTCTTAGGACCCAAGGGATGTGGCATCGCTTGGAGGATCAGTGTACATTCCCACCATGTGCAGAGCCCGGAGGGTTTGGTGCCTCTGATCCAAGGAACATCCATCTGGATCCCCACCGGGACACCCCAAACTGGGACAAAGCCAGGAGGAAGAAGAGCCCTACGGAGACGACTGCGAGGGGAAGATGATGATGCTGCTGCTGCATCAGGTTCCTCTGCATCTCACCCCCTGCCCAGGGCTGGGACCCCCAGGGGAGCATGAGGGAGTTCTTTCACACCGAGCCAGATCCTGCATCACAAAGCAGGGACAGCCGGGCTCGCCCAGCACCAGCATGGGGAGATGTGGGATGGGACAACTTCCCCCTGCTCCCGCCATTACTCTGCATGTCATCAGCTGGTTACTTATTTAAGAGCTTTTTCCAGCCTGGCCCCATTGTAAAAGCATGATTAATAGATGTAGCTTTGTTCTTTAATAACTCGTCCCAAAGGATGCCGGGAGGAGCACGAGGCACAAACCCAGAGCAGCTGAGATGCTCATCAACTGATTCGGACTGGGGGGAACCCACATCCCCGGAATGAGCCAGAGGGGAAACTGAGGCCCGGCGCAGGGATGCGAAGCTGCTCACCTTGGGGCTGGGGATTTAAAGCCAATTGCTGCAGGCAGGGCTGTGTGGACAAGGGCAGCAGCTCCTTCCCCCCACGTTTCTATTAGGAGTGGATTTACAGCCGTACAAGCTTTATTTCACGCTCTCTGATAAATCCAAGTGACGGCGGCAGTAAGTGCTGTATTGACCTTCTGGGCCCAGGGATGGGAAACCTCCACAAACCAGGGGTAAACAGAGATGAGGGCAATTCCCCTGCTCCCTTTGCTCAGGGTAAGGGGTAATAAAAGCCACCATTGACATATAGAGAACCAGAGGCGATGTCCTTGCTGCTCCTGCGCACACCCAGAGGGGTTTTGTTATTATTATATAGCAGGAAAAGCTGCTGGTTTGGGGCTTTTTAGGGTAAAAATCAAGCAGGTGGGAATTTTTATTAACACAAATATGGAGGAACCGTTCTAACTAGAAGGCTTTGTTACACCAGGAGCAAAATTATGCGTGATGTTATTAATTGCACCACCAACCTAATCATCTCTAATGATGTTGAATGAATGGACTTTGGACTTGCAGGGACAAGGTGCAGCTCATCAGGGTTCCATGGCCACAGGGAGGGTGATGAGGGATGGAATGGAGCTCGGCTGGGAAAGCACTTCATCTTCCTCTTTGTTATTGTCACTCTATATTAACAAGTATTATACATTATATATTAACAAACTAACGAGCCTTTCCCACTCAGCATCCCAGCAATATTCCTGTGCTCCAGCCCCAAGCCCTTCCCAGACCTCAAAACCTGTTCAGGAACACTCCAAACAGCAACCAGAGCCGGCAAAGGAAGGGGCAAAGGGCTCATGTTTCCTGCAAGAAGCAATAAAGAAACCATCAGCAAATCAAACGAGGACACGGGCTGCTGGTGATCCAGAACTGCGGAAACCTCTGCCATGCATCCCGCTGGGTTTTGGCCGGGAAGGATGCTCAGCGGCTGCTCCGGCCGGAGCCAGGGTTTGATGGGTTTAAAGCAGGATTTCAGCTTCGCATCGGAATCCTCCAGCTCTGACCCTCCCCACGGCTCCTGTTGGCGTTGACCTGGATTGCGAGCGGCTCTGCTGGGGTTGGTGCTTTGAAGAAACTCCTCTGAGCTCACCCAATCCCGCCGGCTCATGAAATCCAGCTGGGAAGTTTCCCCCTAGAAGAAGCTGTCTCGCCGCATCTTGCTTCAGTGAGGGATGAAAATAGACCCTGGGTGCCTGGAGACTTCACTTCTGAGCTCGCTGACATGAAAGGCAGCCATCAAAGTGGATAACAGGATATTTTCCAGCCTAAGGAAGAGCTCCGGATCAGGCTCAGGCTTTGGCAAGGCAAACTGTGAGGGGGATTTGATGCACTTGGGACCCCAAACAGCACCCATGGGTCGCTGTGCTCACCCCAGCCCCCTGGAAAGCCAGAACCAAGCTGTCCCTCTGCACCGGAGCATCTCTTTTCGCTCAGATCTATGATAATCCATTCTTACATGGAAACCGTTCCCCCTGCAGAGATGGGCTCTTTCTCACATAGCCCTAGCTCAGACCAGGCTACAGCCAGCACCCTTGTAGCTCATCAGCTGGTAAAAGCACCCCTGGATTTTAGCTGCAGCACCTGGGGCTGGTCGCTCGCTGTGGTTGGAAGACAAACGCTTTGTTTTTGAAGGGAGAGGCTATTCCTGTGCCTCTGCTAATGCGCAGCATTGTGTCTTGTTTGTTCCTTGCTGTTCCGCAGCTGAACTGCTGCAAGTGATGTACCAGTGCCTCAGACGATGCTGCTGCTTCGGAGCTGCAAGAGGAGCGCTCCTTCGTCCTCTCAGGGAGTTAAATCCATTTTGTGCCTTGCGAGTGGACCTCCTCGTCTTCACCCCTCCAGCCAGAGTGTTCCGCTCCATGGGGAGAAAAGGAGCATCCCCCAGAGGCTACGGTCCCCATGGGGCAGTGCAGCTCGGTTCTGCTCCGCAGTGCAGTGAGCTGGGGGTCACATCCCCCCCACTTCTCCTTATCTCCAGCCTCAGAGCCTGGTAACTGCCAGACAACAGCTATCTGCTCACAAGAAAAGACTGCATGGGAAGCAGGCAAGGAGCCCTGCACCAAGCAGAGTGGATCCACACTGCCCACAGCACCCCAAAGCTGTGCCCCTGCCGAGCACAAACCCAGCCCTCACTCCCTGGGTTGTTATCGCAGCATCCTGCATCCCATCACCTCCTCATCCCCAGCCCAGAGCACCCCTGTTGCAGGAGAAAGGCGGGTTCAGAGGCACCCCTAAGCTATGGAACAGCCACTCCAGGACTCAGTGCTGGATTATGGATTCACTCCAATGCAGCTTGGCACTAACCCACACACACACCAGAGCAGCTCCCCTGCTCACACTCCTCTCCAGGCTCCATCATCTGAGCCCTCCTGGCAGCCATGGCATGGAGATGGCCCATGTCTGGCTGAGCCTGGCCAGACATGAACCTGACACAGATGCTCATGGCCATGGCACCCTCATTAATCCCTCTGTGGGGGATCAAACTGAAATAGGGGAAGCTCAGATTAGGTATAAGGCAGAAGCTCTTCCCTGTGAGGGTGCTGAGGCGCTGGCACAGGGTGCCCAGGGAAGCTGTGGCTGCCCCATCCCTGGCAGTGTTCAAGGCCAGGTTGGACACAGGGGCTTGGAGCAAGCTGCTCTAGTGGAAGGTGTCCCTGCCTGTGGCAGGGGTTGGAGCTGGAGGAGCTTTAAGGTCCCTTCCAACCCAAACCAGGCTGTGACACCTGAACAAAAGCCCCTGCTGTGCCAGGAAAGGGAAAGAGAAGGATGAGGAGCTGGGATGGATACCCAGCAGCAGGGCAGGAGCCATCATCCCACCCCAGCAATGGGGATGAGGGGCTGCTGTTGTCAGTGGATGAGGATGAGGCAAGTCCAAGGCCAGGTGGGAATGAGTCTGCGGTCAATGCACATGGCTGGAGAGCAGCATCCCTGCAGCCCAGCTCAAGCAGGGACCCATAACTCCAGACTGATCTTAAATGGGCTGGTGGGGGCCCCAGGTGAGGCTGCCCAGGCCATTTAATGCTCCCAGGGTGGTGGGAGGCCAGAGTCGAGGTGAGGGTCTCTGCCTGACGAGCTGAGCTGGCAGCTCCACCACCTCCAGCCCAGCAAAACCCATTGCTCCAGTGGCTCAACCCT